TAGAAGACAAGCTGTTGTGCCAAGTTTTTGTAAATAGCGATTGGGTGATATTTATTGTCTATTTATTGTCTATTTAAACTAAGAAACCTAAATGCTGTTTTTTTATTATTAGTATTCAAATAAAGTATATGTGTATATTCTAAACTTAAACAGGCAGATATTTTTAAAAATCAGAAAACCAGGCTCTCTTACATTGCGCAGTATTATCACTTAAACGCAGGGTATATGAGCACTAGAGGAAAGAGCACGCATATCGCTTCATTAGGGAGCTGCTGTTCCTCCACTGTCCAACATGCAGGCTGAGGCAAGAGGATGGCACCAGTGTATAACTTAGCTATAATCCACAAAACACATTGTTTGCTATCCACGCAATATTATTATTTTTTTTGTTTACAAACGATTTTATTGCATAACAGTAGACTGTAAAACAACAGTACATTTTCAAATGATACTTACAGCAAAAACAAGGCACCTTTGAAAAGTACAATACAGAAAAGTATATTAATGTAAGAAAGAGAAGAAATAGAAAAGAATAGATTGCAAGTACATGAAATACGTAAATGATAAGGTAGGTTAAGTGATACATCTGTCAACAGTATATGCCAGTCAACTTTCACTGGGAATGTTGTTAATCATGCAATAAATGTCTATAATCCCTCCATGACTCCCATTTTTTTATCAAATAGGTGCATCTTATCCAGTAGGGTATAATGAATACGTTCCATGAGCATTACAGCATCAATTCTGTGTAAAACGGAGGCCAAGGGTACAGCATTAGACCTCCAATGTAAGGCAATAGACCATAAAGTGGCAATACACATAGTATGTATCAATCTCATAATGGCATCAGAGACTCCCAGGATATGAGCCCCCAATAAACAGGTCTGTATAGACAATCGTATCTGGGTACCCGCCAGTGAGGTAGCCACCTCAGATATCCTGCTCCAAACCAAAGATAAGGACGGGCAATCCCAAAATATATGAACCAAAGTACCTGTGAGGCGCAATATTATTTTTTGTCTTATTTATTAAAGCAGTATTAAACCCAAAAGCAAACATTTATTATATTGAAACGTACCAATCCTTAGATGTGTTGGCTGCATTAGTTTCATTTTTTGGCTTTCTTTTATTTTCTATTTCTTCTGTTTTAATCTGGTGATTCAGCCAGTAAGTCTGCCATGTTTCAGAAGCTCAAACTCTCCAGCAGAATGTATCAGTTTACATAGATAAGACCACCATCCAGGTCTGTTTACTAGTGAGGGCAGGGGGCAATCCCAAAATTAAAAAGTACCTTACAATGTTCTTATTTATTAAAGCGTGTAAACCCAAAAGCATTTAATTGAAAAATCCTTGATGTTTTCATTAACTGATTCTAAAAGTTTGAGCTGAATGAGTTTGTAGCTTCAATTTCTTTTTGTGTAAAATTTGAAAATCTGATTCTAAAGTTTAATAGTGTAGCTTCATTTCTTATTGTATTTGAATCTGCACATTTAACACTCCCATCCCCCAAGACTAACAATGCTGCTGTTTCCTGCATCCTGGCCCATTCCTCCAAAGTGGTGTCTCACTAATACTGGAGATGTGTTAATGTCCAGATCACTAGGTGAACACAGAAAGAAAAAAGCCTAAAAAAAAAGAAAACTAATATAGCCACTACATCTAATGATTGGTAAGCTGCAATATAATTTTTGGTTTTCGCTTTAATACAGCTTTAAAGGCTACCTACATACATGCATAGGAACAAGTCAGAAATAATATTGTTACATCATTCTATAGTTAGGAAATGCACAACCTTTTATTATTGTATTTAGATCGTTATTGCTCTTTTATGTAATTTCAGTTGTCATGTATAGTTGGAATTTATGTTTTTTGAGGCTTTATATTTGTTTATCACTAATTCATTCATTTTAATTACCCACCTGCCCTCCGGAGGATTTACCCCCCCCCCCCCCCTAACCAGTCCATTTTTGGCTGTATGGCCTTGTGTTACTTTAACTGACAATTGCGCAGTCATGCAATGCTGCACCCAAATTAAATTTATTACCTTTTTTTCCTTTTCCCACAAATGAAGATATATTTTGGTGGTATTTTGTCACCTGTGCATTTTTTATTTTTTGCGCCATAAACAAAAAAAGACCAACAATTTTGAAAAAAAAAACAATATTTTTGAATTTTTGCTATAAAACATCCAGTAAAAAATTTTTCAAAAATCTAATTTCATCATAAATTTAGGACAAAATGTATTATGCTACATTAATTGTTTGAGGGTTTTTTTTATACTAGTTATGGTGGCAATCAGCAACTTATAGCGGGACTGCGGCGGGCATTCTGAAGGGGGGGAACTAACTGCCACAGACATCCCCACTGACACTAATACAGTGATCAGTGATAATAAAAAGCACTGACACTGTACTAATGACACTGGGCAGGAAGAAGTTAACATCTGGAGCGATCAAAGGGTATGTGCTGTTTTACTATTTTGCATGTGTAAGCCCGCTGCTTTGTATTGCTCTGCGCGCCCCCCACCTGGAAATACAAAATCACGTATATATACATGATTATGTGCAGCCCTGCTGCCCTGTAGCCGTACTTCTGCTATAGGGCAGTTGGGAAGCAGTTAAACTACTTTAATAGCAAACTGATTTTGAATATGCATAAGTTCTCAGTTTCAGTATAGGCAGAAATGTTAGAAGTTTAATCATTTCAATACCGGGCACTTTTACTCCCTTCCTGCCCAGACCAATTTTTAGCTTTCAGCGTTTTTTGCACTTTGAATGACAATTGCAGGGCCATGCAACACTGTACCCACACAAAATTTATGATTTTCTTCACACAAATAGAACTTTCTTTTGGTGGTATTTATTCACCTCTGGCTTTTTTTGCTAAATAAAAAGAACAAAAATCTTGAAAAAAATGTTTTTTTTCTTTGTTTCTGTTATAAAATTTTGCAAATAAATAAATGTTCATAAATTTAGGCCAACATTCTGCTACATTCCTTTGATGAAAATAACTCTAGGAAAGTTATAGAGTCCACAAACTATGGTTTATATCTGAAAATCGATCATTTCTGATGTACTGATGTACTCTCATTTCCTGAGGCCCAAAAATGTGAGACTGACAACTCATGGGGCCCCCGGGGAAATAGGGGATCATGGGGCCCCTGTGTCCTTGCCAAAACTCAAAAAAGCCTATGAAAAAGGTACCAGGGGCATCTCATGGGGCCCCCTACTGACCCCAGGCCCTCAGGCAGTGCCCGAGTTTCCAAATGGTCAGTCCGTCTCTGGTCAGGACAGTACAAATACCCTCGAAATTAGCCTTTTTTGGAAAGTAGACAGTCCAAGGTATTTAGTAGGAGGCATGGCAAGTTTTTTGAAGTTGTAATTTTTTGTCACAATTTTTTTTAAAAATTAAGAAATTAAAAAAAAACACAATTTTTTTTTTACATACTGTCACCAGTGCAGTATAGCATCATCACATAACTGGTGTGGCATTGGTCAGGGACACTGGTGACTGTATGAAAAAGAAAAAAAACATTTTTTTTTTTATTTTTTATTACTTTATTTCATGTTTTTTTTTTAACCCACTGTGACCAGAGCAATATAATGTTACCATAGTAACATTGTACTACTCTGGAGAAATTATAATTTTTTATACATTTCGATTGCTTATACCAATGAATCTCATTGGTACAATTATATTTATATTGTAATTGTACTGTCTGCCCTTTTGTTGTAAAGTGCTGCATAAACTGTTGGTGCTATGTAAATCCTGTATAATAATAATAATAATAATAACTAGAAAAGCTACAAGTTCTGGGGAAATTGTGTGTGAAGTGTTCTTGCCTCCACCAGTAGTCTACAACTGGAGTGGGTGGAGTAACTGGGTGGAGTGGCTTGAGTAACTGTTGTGTGGTTGGAGTGGCTGGAGTAACTGTGAAAAGGTTGGACTGGGCAGAGTAACTTTATGGAGTGGGCAGAGTAACTATGTGGAGTGTTTGAAGTGAGTAAAGATAGTAAACATTACACTAACCAATTGATTGATCAAATTTAAAAAGTGTGCATGGCAAGCTTGATAGAGTGAGAAATGCATTTCAACTTTTAACTAGAAAAGCTACAATTTCTGGGGAAATTGTGTGAAGTGTTCTTGCCTCCACCAGTAGTCTACAACTCACACTCTAGCTTTTGTCACTCTGGTGCCTGCTCACACACCTGGGTTCCTATGGCAACTCACTCTAAAGCAAGGGCAGAGAAGAGGGATTAAAAACAAAACTGCTTCAACTTGCTCACGTCACTGGCGGTTTGCCATCTTCAAACAGTTGTAGTTTAAAAATTATAAATCCTACACCGAAGAGCTTTATATTGAATCACAAGACCCAGACCTACATTTTGATGTATAGTATGTCTCTGAAATATTAAAAATGAAGGCACAGTCGCAGTTTAGAAATTGCCCTTCAAATTTGAGGTGGCTAGAGTGGAGTTTCAATGAATGTCAATGGGTGGCGTGAGTTGCAAACAAATGGTCATATTGTGAAAACTATCAGGACTATGGCTTACCGTGAACATTTTTAGTGGCAGCAGGGATAGCTGAACATTTTGATATAAAATTTGTGTAGGTGGGCTTGAAAATGAGGGAGTGATGGCAGTTTAGAAATCATGTCCTGATTTTTCAGCTCACACTCTAGCTTTTGTCAGCTCCCACTCTAGTTTTGAACATTCCGCCATTCATTCCTATGGGACCAAATTTCACCACAAAAACACCAATATTTTGTGAACCATTCGGCAAAGCGTTCTACAAAGTGATAGCACACCAATCGGGAACAATCCGCACGTTTCGGTATATTACTGTCTATGTAGTGTAAAAACTGTGGGAGGAGTTAGGGTGGTAAATTTGGCTATAATAATAAGAATATACTGTATTTTTCGCTCCATAAGATGCACCTGACCATAAGACGCACCTAGGTTTTAGAGGCAGAAGACAGGAAAAAAAATTCTGAACTAATGGACTGCAGACATAGTACAGGAGATGACCAGAGACTGCGGACATAGTACAGGAGATGACCAGAGACTGCGGACACAGTACAGGAGATGACCAGAGACTGCGGACATAGTACAGGAGATGACCAGAGACTATGGACATAGTACAGGAGATGACCAGAGACTGCGGACACAGTACAGGAGATGACCAGAGACTGCGGACATAGTACAGGAGATGACCAGAGACTGCGGACATAGTACAGGAGATAACCAGAGACTGCGGACACAGTACAGGAGATGACCAGAGACTGCGGACACAGTACACAGGAGATGACCAGAGACTGCGGACACAGTACAGGAGATGACCAGAGACTGTGGACATAGTACAGGAGATGACCAGAGACTGTGGACACAATACAAGAGATGATCAGAGACTGCGGACAGTACAGGAGATGACCAGAGACTGCGGACATAGTACAGGAGATGACCAGAGACGGCGGACATAGTACAGGAAATGACCAGAGACTGCGGACACAGTACAGGGGATGACCAGAGACTGCGGGGACAGTACAGGAGATGATCAGAGACTGCGGACAGTACAGGAGATGACCAGAGACTGTGGACATAGTACAGGAGATGACCAGAGACTGCGGACATAGTACAGGAGATGACCAGAGACTACGGACATAGTACAGGAGATGACCAGAGACTGCAGACACAGTACAGGAGATGACCAGAGACTGCGGACACAGTACAGGAGATGACCAGAGACTGCGGACACAGTACAGGAGATGACCAGAGACTGCGGACATAGTACAGGAGATGACCAGAGACTGCGGACACAATACAAGAGATGATCAGAGACTGCGGACAGTACAGGAGATGACCAGAGACTGCGGACATAGTACAGGAGATGACCAGAGACTGCGGACATAGTACAGGAAATGACCAGAGACTGCGGACACAGTACAGGGGATGACCAGAGACTGCGGGGACAGTACAGGAGATGATCAGAGACTGCGGACAGTACAGGAGATGACCAGAGACTGCGGACATAGTACAGGAGATGACCAGAGACTGCAGGGACAGTACAGGAGATGACCAGAGACTGCGGGGACAGTACAGGAGATGACTGCTGACCTTTGGGGAGGGGGGGGAGCGGGTACCTGAATTTGACAGGTACCCCTCTTACTTCCGCGGAGTTGTTCTTTGATCTTACCTGTTCCTCTATCCAGCCGCGTGCTGTCTTCCCGGCTTCTGTAGTGTGGGCGCTCGGCGGACAGCCGGATGCCCAGTGTGCATGAGCGAGAAGCACTGCGCTTTGTGATTGGTCCGGCGGCTTCTGGGATCTGTCATGTGTCCCAGGTACCACCTTACCATTCACAAAGAGCACCGCTTTGTGCGCATGCGCACTTGGCACCTGGCTCTCACGCACACTACAGAAGCCGGGAAGACAGCGCGCCACTGGATAGAGGAACAGGTAAGGTCCCACTGCAGAGCTCCATATTCGCTCCATAAGATGCACTGACATTTCCCCCCCTTTTTTGGGGGGAAAAAAGTGCGTCTTATGGAGCGAAAAATACGGTATATGTGAGATAACAGTAAGTGGTCTTGCCATGCAAGAACACTTAAATATTGGCTTCCCCCAGAACTATACCTAAATATATATGTACACAGCTAAAAAAAAACTAGAATAAATCTATACACACACAGAGGATAACCCTAATCTACTAAATCTCTCCTCAACCCATGAAATTGGTAGACCTAATAAACACCATCAAATAATGCAAACAATAATAATATAAATAAAAAATAAAAATGAAATAAAATTCTAGATGGCTCAAAACGAATATCACCATCTTCTAATATTAAAAATCCTTATCTTTAAAACCACTACATCAGTGTACAGTTGCAAGAAAAAGTATGTGAACCCCTTGGGATTACGTGGAGTTTTGCATGAATTGGGCATAAAATGTGCTCTGAACGTCATCTAAGTCACAACAATAGAAGAACACAGTCTGCTGAACATAATACTACACAAACATTAGATGTTGCCATGATTTAATTGCACATAACATGTAAACATTCACAGTGCAGGGAGGAAAAAGTATGTGAGGCCCTAGCTTAATGACTTCTCCCAGAGTTAATTGGAGCCAGCAGTGAGCCAACCTTGACTCCAATCAGTGTGATGATATTGGATGTGTTGCTGACAGCTGTCCTGCCCTTAAAAAACACACGCCTGTTTTGGGTTTACTGGTTTCAAGAAGCACTGTCTGATGTGAACCATGCCTCGCAGAAAAGAGCTCTCAGAAGACCTACGATCAAGAATTGTTGACTTGCATGAAGCTGGAAAGGGTTACAAAAGTATCTCCTTGAGCCTTGATGTTCATGTGTCCACGGTAAGACAGACTGTCTACAAATGGAGAAAGTTTAGCACTGTTGCTACTCTCCCTAGGCGTGGTCGTCCTGTAAAAATGACTGCAAGAGCACAGCGCAGAATGCTGCATGAGGTAAAGAAGAATCCCAGAGTGTCAGCTAAAGACCTACAGAAATCTCTGGCACATGCTAACATTTTTGTTGACACATCTACAATAAGGAAAACATTAAACAAGAATGGAGTACATGGGAGGACACCACGGAGGAAGCCATTGCTGTCCAAAAAGAATATTGCAGCACGTTTGAAGTTTGTAAAAGAGCACCTGGATGTTCCACAGCACTACTGGCAGAATATACTGAGGACAGATGAAACCAAGATTGAGTTGTTTGGGAAGAACACACAACACTATGTGTAGAGAAAAAAAGGCACAGCACACCAACATCAAAACCTCATCCCCACTGTGAAACATGGCGGAGGGAGCATCATGGTTTGGGGCTGCTTTGCTGCCTCAGGGCCTGGACGGATTGTTGTCATTGATGGGAAAATTAATTCCAGAGTTTATCAAGACATTTTGCAGGAAAACATACGACCATCTGTCCGCCAACTGAAGCTCCGCAGAGGATGGGTGATGCAACAGGACAATGACCCAAAGCATACAAGTAATTTAACAAAACAATGGCTGCAACAGCACAGAATACGCCTTCTGGAGTGGCCCAGTCAGAGTCCTGACCTCAACCCCATTGAAATGCTGTGGCATGACCTTAATAGAGCGATTCACACCAGACATCCCAAGAATATTGCTACACTGAAACAGTTTTGTGAAGAGGAGTGGTCCAAAATGACTCCAGATCGTTGTGCAGGTCTGATCTGCAACTACAGGAAACGTTTGGTTGAGGTTATTGCTGCCAAAGGAGGGTCAACCGGTTATTCAGTCCAAAGGTTCACATACTTTTTCCTCCCTGCACTGTGAATTTTTTACATGTTATGTGCAATTAAACCATGGCAACATCTAATGTTTGTGTAGTATTATGTTCAGCAGACTGTGTTCTTCTATTGTTGTGACTTAGATGACGTTCAGAGCACATTTTATGCCCAATTCATGCAAAACTCCATGTAATCCCAAGGGGTTCACATACTTTTTCTTGCAACTGTAGCTACCATCTAGTGGGAAAACTACATATTGGCAAATACAAAAAGAACTGGAAATTTATTTCAATAGGGCTACCCTCTGATAAATAAGTATAAATAGATGACTACATCATCCATTGGTAGATACAAAAAAAATTTTTTGTATCAAATATAACAGATCACGCCATACAGCCTCACATTCGGCTCGTTCCGGGAGGACATCATATAATGTCCACCTGAATCGATGAAACACCCTTCCAGCCATCAAATTGCTATTGGCTGGGCGGGATGTGGTTAAAGTATATGTACGAGCTACCAAAAACTTCATATAACATTTATTATGATAATGTCATTTGAAAAGTAGCTTTCAATATTTTAAAATCTATAGCTTTTATTATAATAATGCCAGATGGTTCTGGTACTTCCTTTTCAAGGATTACAATACTCTATTCCTGTCTCCCACTTATGCTCATACATTGTAACTCTGTCACACTCTGTCAGAGACTACAAGAGGCTGATTTAACATGTTATGCAGACATGGCCCACTTTTATGGTTCAATGAAAACTGTCTTGAGAAGTGCCATGCAGTCAGCTGAAATACATGCATGTAGACAAGAAGTAGCTACAAAGAAGCTGCAGGAGATCAGTAGCACAGAGATGCAACAAGGGATGAAAAGAAGGCAAAAACAAGTTTTTTATGTATATCTTAGATTGTACGCCCCTTGAGGTTTGCGGACTGATGTGAATTTACAACATATATGTAAAGCAGTGCGTTAATTGGCATCTCAATATAAGTACCTGTAATAATAATAATAATCATTTAAAAAAAAGAAAATTGTTCACAATACATAGGGGTTGATTTACTGAAGGTGAATATGCTGTTCATTTAGCAAGGGAATTTGCACTTTGCCATGGAATTTTCCACAAAGTTTAGTGAAAGTGTGGACATTTTACTTTGTTTGCAAATGATGCATGGTGGCCATCAGCAGAGCTTCATCTCATTTACTAAGCTCTGGGGGAAAATTCTTTGTAAAACTTTCTTTACAAAGGGAACAGCCTTTAGAAAATCAACATCATACTGTTTTGCAGACTAACTTTCAATCTCTGTAGGGTTTACATCTGAACACAGTAGGTGTTCCTAAACTAATACCTTGTAACAAATTTCAAGTTAACCAATGGTGAACATTAATATTTAAAATTTCACACTTTTTGTTTTCATCAGCTGTGTTGCTAAAGGGATGCCGGTAAACATACAGTAAGCCTGCAGAATGCAGAAAGGTAAAGTCACTTATAATTAGGTGCATGCTTAGAAGCAAAGCTACAAAATAAAGAGATTGTGAACTCTAGCACACTAAAAGTGAGAAATGGAAAACATGTTTATTTTACCAATGAATATATAAATGCTTTAGGAATGATAAAAGATTGACTAACATAAAGATAACAGAGTTTATTTAAAGTGGTTTTACACTTTACTTGGAATCTTATCCTGAACCTCTTGATTGTTGAAAGCTTGTTTAGGAATGCCATAGACAATGTGATTTTCTTTCTTGCAACCACAATAGCTCAACGGGAGGGATTCCTCCATCAACACTGAATGTGCTGAAGGGGGAATAAAGCAATTTTCTTTGTTGCAACCAGGGGTTCAGCACAGTCAGTGTTGATGGAGGAATCCCTCCCGTTGAGCTATTGTGTTCTCCTAGCAGAGGGATGCAGGGAGCTTTCCTGGCAGGAGAATACAGTGATTAGAGATGAGCGAATCGAACCTGGCGAAGTGGAATTCATTTCGAATATCAGGAAAAATTCGATTCGCATCGAATCCGAATTTTAGCAAACTTCGGGTGCACGAATCAAATTTTTCCCGATCAGCCGGCAAAAGTGTCACTGCAGAGAGCTCCGCTATTTCTGACAGTTCTGACAGTTCATTTACAGCGGTTGAAACATTGTATCTATTTGTTTCCATTTAGGATACAGATGTTTTTATTCGGAAATAAATAGATACAATGTTTCAACCGCTGTAAATGTGAAGGAACTGTCAGAGAACTGTCAGAAATAGCGGAGCTCTCTGCAGATACACTTTTTGCTGTACTTTAATTCTTCTTTTCATTCTTCTTCTTCTTCTTCTTCTTTTCATTCTTCTTTTCATTCTTCTTCTTCTTCTTTTCATTCTTCTTCTTCTTTTTCATTCTTCTTTTCATTCTTCTTCTTCTTCTTTTCATTCTTCTTCTTTTCATTCTTCTTTTCATTCTTCTTCTTCTTCTTTTCATTCTTCTTCTTCTTCTTTTCATTCTTCTTTTCATTCTTCTTCTTCTTCTTTTCATTCTTCTTCTTTTTTTTTCATTCTTCTTTTCATTCTTCTTCTTCTTCTTTTCATTCTTCTTCTTCTTCTTTTCATTCTCCTTTTCATTCTTTTTCTTCTTCTTTTCATTCTTCTTCTTCTTTTTATTCTTCTTTTCATTCTTCTTCTTCTTCTTTTCATTCTTCTTCTTCTTCTTTTCATTCTTCTTCTTCTTCTTTTCATTCTTCTTTTCATTCTTCTTCTTCTTCTTTTCATTCTTCTTCTTTTCATTCTTCTTCTTCTTCTTTT